AGGTCCACCACCTGCAGCAGCAGCGGAGCCACTGCGACAGAATCTGCTCGGACCAGTCCTCGTCCCCATCAACGGCCGCCAGCCTGTACGCTTCTCCGGCAAACAGCGGGACCAGCGGCGGGAGAGCCGTCGGTAGCAGCGACCATACCAACGCCGGCAGCCAGGCTTCCTCACTAGCGTCGAGCGACCGGGACATCAACGGCGACGGAAGCAGCAGCAGCAGCAGCAGCAGCAGCAGCAGCAGCAGCGTTGTCACGATGATGGCGTCAATCGCGTCCTTTTCTGGAATCGCTCGCCTGACCAAGCAGCAGGAACAGCAGCAGCAGCAGCAGCAGCAGCAGCAGCGAGAACAACAACCGGCCTCCGATACCACCAGCGACGGCGACACGATGCCGCCCTCTTCGAGGGTGGCAACGGCGGGCTGGTTTGGAGTTTTCGCCCACAGGGGTAACGGCGACGAGAGCAGCAGGCCGTCGGCATTCTCGACCGCGCTCCACCACCACGCTCACGCTCAGGTCTTCAACACGCGTGAGTTCCGATTATATTGACTGGCATATCTCACCGTCAACAAACCAACAACAACAACAACAACAAACAAGAAAAATGCAGCAACGACAACACTGTTTCTGGACGGTTTCCCCGCCAACGTGCTCGTTTTACCGCCTCCGCGAAGTCTCTACCGCCGAAACTCGCCCTACCACCCATCGCCGAAGAAACTTCCACCGGATGGATGGCGCTGCCACCGAAATATTTACAGCCAAAAATTTGTTTTACCGCCTCCGCCAACGTCGCAGCTACCGGCTAGCGTTACCACCGTACCATGGCATGTCATAGTCCATATCACAGCCGACGGGAAAGTGTCCGATGGTAGGCAGAGGTCTTGACTCGTCGACGATGCGGACAACGTACACATGCAAATGATGGTGCTCGAGGCCATGCGTGAAGTCGTTTTTTGTCCCGCGTTTGTGTCTTGTTCGTTTGTGTTTCAAGGTACAACAGAAGTTCTTGCATGCTTTGTTTCTGAGGGTCAACGTTTCGGTTGTTTTCCCGCCGTGAAAATGCCCCCCTGGTAGACGGTACCGAACAACCGCCGGTTTCCCGCCGGTTATTATGTACGCGTCCGCCAGTCAGTTTCGTTACCGCCGACAAACGCGAAACAGTCCAACAAAGTAGTTACCCCTGCGTATCATTACCGCCTCAACATTGATTTTGCTGCCATTTGTTTTTTTTCACGCCAAAGTCATTACAACCAAGAAAACGCGAAACCTCGGTACCGCCGAAACAAACAACGTCGAATTGGCATTTCCACGGAAGACTTGCGGTCTTGGTTAGCGGCCTGCGCCAATTTCGCTACGGTACCACCCAGAAAACGCGAAACAACCTACCGCCGAGAAACTATTCCCGCCGTATGGCACAACCGCCCCCGCCCGCGTCCACCCATAAAAACGGGACCCCCACACATTCTACAGTTTACCTAAAACGCCCACGGTTGACCCATGGGTAGCCCGTGGGCAGCCCGTGGGCGGCCCAAGGGCTACCCATGGGAAGTCCATGGGCGGACAATAAGAGTCCTCCAACCGGAAACAGTGTAATCCTAAACAATAAATAATCTGCTTTGGAACGGGCATGATAGCGGCTAGTAACCCTGACGCCATCTCTAACCCCAACCCCAAGCCCACACGATACGTGTAGGTTGGCGCTGGTGGCTAAGTTCTAGGTTGATATAAAATGCCGGCGGCGAAGTTCTAGGTTGATATAATATGCCGGTGGCTAAGTTCTAGGTTGATATAATATGCCGGCGGCGAAGTTCTAGGTTGAAGTGCCTACGGTGGGCACTTCATGGGCCGCCCATGGGCATGCCCATGGGTGCCCCATGGGCGGTTTGGCGTTTCTGTCAGTAGTGTGGGAGATTGTAAAAACGCCACCGGCATAGTCTAACCCTTGAAATGTTCGCGTCGCGGCTTGATTGCGATGTTTTCTATTGGTTCGCCGGTCCTCATGTCACCCACGGAAGCATCGCATCGTCGGCCCTGCGAATATTTTGGGTTATTCTCATTGGAAAACTATTGTACCACCGCGCTGGAGTTACGCGCGCGTGCGGGCTGATGCGGGAAATCACACCAGACCCAAAGACGCGGACTCGAATTTGCTCGTCGGAGACCCCCTTTCCACAAGAACGACCACCAATCGACTATTGCCACCGGTACCATCGTCTACTCTCTGACCACTGGCCTTCTTTCATTCATGTGCCTGAAACCTGTGATCGGTCTCCCTCCACCCACCCATGCATGGCAGCTGGTGGTACCACCGTGGGAAGGACCCTGTCCACCACCAGCATGTTTCACGTACCGCCCTTTGGAAACGAGGATCGAGGTGCGCAGCGAGTGCGCAGCAGCACCCGGCGCGCTGCGCAGGTGCGATTGAAGAGCCCTCGCAACGCGCAGCAGACACAGCAGAGAAGGAAGGACTGACTCGCTGCTTTCTGTGACGAAAAAAGAGGCCGATACCGTTGGGCGCCGCGTGGCCCCGGTCTTGGACTGCTCGGGACGCAATGCCTAGCTCAGTGGCGCAGCCCCCGCACGTGGTGTATGCGTTGGTGCTGGGGGTGCCGAGTGTTTTTGTTGGCAACGGCATGCTGACATGATATTGTCAGCACATCGACAAGGCAGGCAGCGACATGAGAAATACATGGCCGTTGTGTTGGATAGAGAGTAGTAGGTTCACATGAAGTCGATTCATTCGTGTATTCTTTGTTAATACCGGAACGAACGGCAATCGAAAGCTACTTCTTACCGAGGTCTTGGAGACATTATTTGTAGAGCATAGTTTTGGCCCACCTAATCCTTGAGATTGTAGTTAATTGGCTAACAGTAATAGCCTACAGTAGGACGGGGACACACCAGAGAGGAGGTTCACGAAATATGTTGAAAATTTCCAACAATTGCCCTACGTCGATATCGTCACCTCCTTCTTAACGGAACGGCGATCAAATGCTACCTTACGTCTGACCAAGGTCTTGGAGGCATTATTGATAGAGTTGCGGTGCACCTGAACACCTGAGAAATTCTTTGTAAGGGGCACGGCGGGGGTTGGTTGTGTCTGGGTTTTGTGAAATGAACGCCGTTGCGTGTGTCGGTTGGTTTCAGATGGGAATAAATGTCTGATCTCTGACCAACGCGTTGCAACCGCCCGCAGCCTTTGATTGCACTAAAACAACGATGGGAGGGGGGGGCGAGCGAGTGTCGTAAGCAGGTCGGTTTCTCGGGCGAGGTGAAATACATTGCTTTTCATCATAGAAAGGGTGTAATGTCTCGAAATCAACACACGAGAATTCTCACGCGCGCATTATTTTCATTTATTTTCACAAGATGACATATTTTTCTCATGCTTCTGACTGGCGGTGGATTATTTGGGCTATACTCTACAATGAAGCACGTAAAACAGGGTGTAGTATAGAATAGGGTTGTTAGGCAAGGGCGCCATCTATTCTAGAGGCATGCGTACATGATCTCCGTGTCAACGCAGTTTTATTAGAAGAATAGCCTCAAGGGAGATTTGTTTTGCGTAGTACATGATCTCCGTGTCAACGCAGTTTTATTCGAAGAATAGGCTAGGAGATGTGTTTTGCGTAGCGTAGTTTTATTTATCGCGCGACCGTTTAAGGAAGAAGGCTGGCATGGTATTTCTTGGAGATTTTTGGTTCTCGAGTCTCTGCTGAGAGGAGGTAGAGGCATGACTTGTAACGGAGGCAATGAAAATACACCGAGAACTCAAGAGGACAGTCGGTGTGTAGTGAATTTTCCGTGTGAATTGATTTGTCTGCATATAAACAATAGTCGTAGTTTGGTGGTACAGACAGCAGGTAAGCAAACTCAGTGTAAGGACGACAGTTGTCAATACTTTCACTTCTTCCGGGGACACTTCGCTTACAGAGGGGGTAAAGGTTTCTTCCACCGATGCTGGGACTCCATAGGCAAGGTTCCTGGGGGCTACAGTACATCTTGAGATGGGATACCTCTTGGAGAGGTTGGCCTACAATCACATCGTTCTTTGTCTTTTCAGATTTGCCGTAACATGGTCGGCGGTGCATGTGAACTCGTAGTACCGTTCCGAAATGGGGGAGGACTAGACGGCATCAGATTTTCGGGGGTAGGTGTCAAAACTGCGCCGACGGCAGGTGGTATTTGACCGCAGGCACAGAGGAAGACGGGCTCGAACGTACACAAAGTATTGTAGTGGGGATGGCACCCGTGCCCTGTTCGAAAGATAAGCCGCAAGCCTTGCCCTGAACCTAACATGTGTACGTGTGATGGTCAGGGCTGTTTGGAAGAGAGTCGACGAGGCGAATTGTGTGAGGCAGGGAACGAGAGCGGGGAAACTTTTGACGTACCAGTACTTCTCAGAGGGGGGATACTGACATACTTCCGGTTGCTGCCGTGCGAACATGATATGTCGGTAGAACGAGGGGGACACTACACAGTTCGTGTGGCTCTGTGGCATTTTGGACGACGGGTGTGAATCACGAAGAGGTAGGATATGACTGGGGAGCAACCGCTCCACCGCTACAACTACAATAGCAAGGGGGGTTAAGTTGGCGGTGGACGCGTCCGGGGTGTCTTCTAGGCTGAAGAGATGGGGACGTTTGCCGAGGCCCGCTGGCCCGAGGTGCAATGGCGTCGTGGTTGACGACGGTGTTCGAAGAATCTGCTACATATACGGGCACCACTAGGGCCGCAGCTGTTGTTCAGGTAAACGACTCGCCTGATCTGACAGCTATTACAATTGTTGCAGAGAAGACCGGGCAGAGGATGCCGGGCATTGGAAAGCATATCCACCCCTTCGCCAAGTTTCTCCCTTGACTTCTGGGCGAGAGGCCAGACGGCAGGAGGATAACTTGAGCAACTTGTGCGCCAAACAGCAGTAACTTGATTGTCTGCGACGATTGTCACGTTTCGACGGCTCTTTTTGCCTTCCTCAACCGGTTTAGAGCAGGGGTAACTAGGGGAAAGGTCCACCTGTTATTTATGTCTGCTTCGCCGGCAGACAGCGACATGCAGCGGAATCGAACCAAATCGGCAAACAAACGTCGTCATGTACGTCAAAGACACAAAAATAGAGTGGTACAATTTGTAACCGGCTACGGGAACAAGAGTGCAGTCAAGCATCAAGGAGTGGCAAGTCTCCAGCCACATGGATCCGCCGCTCTTTACTAGTCGTCCAGGCCCCATTGTGGGCATTACCTCTACTGTTGTAGTAGCTCATGCGCAAAAAGAAAAAATACATGCTGTGCGCGATAGAGCCGATATGCCGGCCAAAGCCCTCGCGGTTTCCGAAACAAGACGATAGGCTCAGCCTCAAGTTATGCCAAAACCGAATATTATCCCATCACCTGCCGGCACCCAAACAACCACCTTGTCTGTATACGTCGACAACTGTGCATGTTGTCGCTGCGCTGACGATAACCTCAGACACCAAAATATGCGGGAGAAAATAGCATACAAAGGAGGGAGCGCCCCCGACGCGTCTGTTCCCACCCCACTGCAGAGAGCCGCAACGTTACGCAGCAGTAGAAGCCAGCAGCCATCCCAGAGGACAGAGAAACGAAACACTTGTCCAGACAGCTGGACAGGACGCCTAGCGCGAGCGGCGGGTGCCGAGCCCCATCTTCCCCGCCAGCAGGTGCTTGACAAGCTTCGGCCCTTCCTTTCTGTCCGCCTCTCCGGCTCGTGCGAAGCGGTTTCGCTCCTGGAATAGAAAAAACGTACCGAATTTTGCCGGAACGGCACGGTAAACCACACGAGAACCGACGCAGACAACGACCACGCGAGAGACGTGGAAACCGGTACGCAGGGGGAGACATTGTTAGTATCGATGGGGAGCGCGACGTGGGACCCGAGCAGACAACGCCCAGCTACGAGGCGTAGCCTGTTGCGGGAATGGACGGGAAACAGAGAAAGACGGTGCTCAGTGAACAAGTCAAGTGTACCTGCCAGGGCGCACCGAAACACTTAATGCAGATACACTACAGCAAATACTAGGTACAGCGCAAGGTGAGAAACAACACAGAACACGGCCTCGTGAAAACTGGCGCCAGAACAGATGGGACAAAACACACGCACAGGCACACGCACACGCACACGCACACGGGCATCTTTCATGGGTCAGCCGTAAGCGCGGTTTTTCATTGGTCAGCCGACCAGCGCGGTCACTGCTAACGAGAAACACACATACCCACAACGATCGACAAGGCGACAACAGCCGCGATTCAACGCCAACATCAACGACAAGAGGCCGCACACAGCACACCCGGCGCACCTTCCGTCCGGAGCGCATGATCTTCTCCGCCGCCTTCCTCTGACTCTCGTCCTTGAGACCGATATCCCGAGGGGCCTGCGTCGGTCCGCGGGAGCGTGATCTCGAGCCACCTGTTCGCGTGACGACAACGCTGTCCGATCGCTTCGTCTGCGACAATTTCATTGGCACGGGGGAGTGGCATGGCGTGTGTGGGTCGACGCATTCGAGGAGGTGTACGAGTTGCGTGGACAGATCGGGTAGGAGGGAGCAAATGTTGGAGCAATGTACATGCACGATGTAACGTTGCAAGCGGCCAAATACTGTTCGCAATCAAGTTTCGCATTTCACAAAGGTCTTGGACGGGGAGAAGAATGGAGCTTCAAATACATTCGACGAAGCGGAGCGTGTACACATTGGACTAGGTAGAACTAGCGGTTTCCTGAAGAACCAAAGTCTAGAAGGAGCGGCAAACGAAAGCGGATACAACAACTCCACACTCAATACCAGCCCAAGCTCCGACCCCAGCAGGCAACAGCAACCAAAACAACAACAACAACAACAACAACAACAACAACAACAACAACAACAACAACAACAACAACAACAACAACAACAACAACAACAACAACAACAACAACAACACCGACATTCACAAACAACGACACAAAATCCCACACGAAACGCTTCAGAAAAAACAAAAACTACCTTCTTCCCGTCGACCTGCCCATCCGCACCGCCCTCTTCGTCTTCCCCCCCGGCCGGCCCCAGCGATCGGCCGCGCTTTCTCGTCGTCGCCCTGCCGCGGATGCCCTCCGTGTGCACCCCGAGCCCCTCCAGATGCGCCACCGCCTCGTCCATCTTGAGCGCGGGTCGGTTCGTGCGCGGCACCTGCATCGCGTTTCTCGACTTGCGCGCTCGCGACTGGAGCCGGCCGGCACGATATAAGGGAAAAGACGAAGAGAAGGGGGAGGGAGGGAGGGAAGGAGGGAGAGGTGGGAGAGGGAGAGGGAGAGGGAGAGGGAGAAAAAGACAGAGAAAGAAAGAGACAGAGACAAAATTTGTCCAAGACAGCGACCGCTACAGCAAAAGCAACAAAAACACACATAAGACAGACAGAACATTACAACGAAAAAGCATCCTACAAAGTACAGAGACAACGAACACACGAGACAGCAAATTCACCTCCTTCTTGATGACCTTGGAACGGTCGCGAATGGCCTGGGCCAACGCCCGCTCGTCCTCGTCCACGTCGGACTCGTACTCCTTGTTCGCCTCCGCTTCCGCCTGAACAGGGCAGTATTACGACGGTCAGTTCGGGCGGGACGACCACAACGGGCAACGCAGCCGACACGTTGTATACGAGGGGAAGCACAATGTTTTGCCCATATGCACACAAGGTATTTCTTCGGGTACCTGTTTAAGCATGAGTGTGGCCACGGATTCGAGCTCATACCGGGCAGCAATGCTGTGAGGCGCCGATTCAAAAGCGATGAACAAAAAACAAATCAAAAATCATGCCACAGAAGGGAATAAAGAGCGTGTACTATATTTCTTGTTCGAGAAGAGCGAAATGCCGCAGGGGGCGAGGAAGGAGAACAAGAGTGTCCCGCCCCGCAAGAGGCAGTAGGATCTGTTCCGAAAGATCGATCGGCAAATGAACCACCATCAAAGAGAAAAACGAGTCTTTTGGCGTTATCTACACACCTGGAGCTGGTCCTCCTCCTGCTCCAGCAGCGCGAGCTTGGCGTCGATGTCCTGATCGACGTAGTCGGCCACGTTCTTGCCGTCCATGATCTCGGGGATGCGGTCCATCTTCCACGCATCGTCCTGCGACAAGCCAAGCAGTGGACAAGCCGCCGACAACAACGAGTAAAAAGATCCAGGGGGGGACAGCGGCGTCAGCAAGACTTGACGACGCTCGGCGACAACGCTGGGATGGTTAACATTTTTCCGCAAAGCTGGAAAATCGTTGTATGCAGAAAATAGCGCGAGGACCGCAACAGCGGGAGAAGCAAGCACAACAAGCGCCGACCCGTGCGGAAGTCTGTGGGAACAAACCAGGGCACATGAGTGGCTGAACGAAAACCACGAGCACCAGCACCAGCACCAGCGGCGGCAGCAGCAGCAGCAGCAGCAGCAGCCGCCACAAGAAAAGGATACGGGGGAGGCGCTGGGGAAAACCGGACGCAGAGGAGGGTTCTGACGCCAACATCCACCCACCTCTGCCGGTCAAACGCCGTCAAAAACCATCAGCATCTCTAGCCAACCAGCAGGACAGAGGAAGAAAGCAAAGACGGCCAAAGAGGCCAATTACCCCCGGACGGAACGGGCGCATGCTCTCGACCCGCGCCCTCTGCAGGGGGGGGCTATTACACACGTCCAAGTAGCATACTTCCAAACACATGGTGTAGCGGTGCTACGGCGACCGAAAGCCAGAGCAAAAAAAAGAACACGCCTCCACCCTCCATTCCCCCCACCTTGAGGTCGTAGTACTTGCGGTAGTCGCACGAGTAAACCCCGGGCCCCCCGTTCTCCCACATGAGGTCCTTCTCCGTCTTGCGAGCGGTCGGCTGCGACCGGCCCCCTTCCCCGCCGTCCACGTCCATGGAACTCCCCGCGCCACCGGCGGAGGCGGCGGCGGCGGCGGCGCGCTTGGCAACGACGGACGCCGGGATGGTCGGCGCCCTGTCGCGACCGTCGCGAGCCTTCGGCATGGCCACCGTCAGGCGGGACACCAGACCCCCCACCTGTTGGTTGTTGTTTACGGCGCATTTTGGGTGTGGGGAGGTTGTGAGAGTTAATTGTTTTGTCGGTTCGGTTGGAAGGGTGCGAAGTAACGACAGTGTCAGGGTGGCAAAAACCATAAACCGTTTTGATTGGTCGAGTTGGAGCGGTCGGTAAGATGTGAGGTCCCACGGCCACGGTTCCGAGTTAAACACTTCAGTCTTGACCCTGCCGTGCATCACGGCACACACACCCGGAACTCAGCCACACCAGCACCATGGTCGAATGTCCTCGCTGTCTTTTCAAGCGAGAGAGTAGCATATCAACCACGCCGAAGGCTACTCGCCAGATCAATCACCGCTGCTGGCGGTTCGATCACCTTCCACAACTCTACGTACGTCCCCAAACATATCTCCCCCCTGGGGCCACAATCCATTCTGACCACAGTCGGTGACCGAGCGACTGACTCGCCTTCTTGCCCGCCATGCGGGCGTCTACCCTGGCCTGCAGCAGCTTGTCGCAGGCCGCGGTCTTGACCTCCTGCACGCCCTCCTCCGTCTCGTTGCTCATCAGGTGCAGCTCTACCCCGGCGCTGTCCGCCAGCTTCTCTATGGAAACCCGGTCCTCCTCCCTGCCATCGATTCCAGAGTTACGTTTGTCACGGGACGGTTCGAGCTAAAAGAAAGAGCACTCTAACCTCATGCGTGGGCAAATCTAGTCGATTAGAACCGAGATTATTTGGGAACTACAATATGCTACCTGACCTTTCTCTGCTCTCCCCTTGATAGTTTTATTCTTCCGCGGTGCTTCTGATGGACTAAATACAAGGGGGCTATGAATCCGAAAAAACGAACAAAGTCACGCCTATATGCTATGTGGTCCATCTCGACTCACTTGATGTCGGCGAAGGGGGCGACGTCCGTCTTGTTGGCGATGACCAGCAGCTGCTTGTTGGCAAACAGAGGCTTGATGCTCTCGAACAGGGAGACCTTCGAAAACAACAACAAAGGCGCCAGATGCGTAGGAACGAATCAAACAGCATCAACACCGTGAACGAGAAAACCTGGGACGCGCGAACCACTACAAACCAGGCTCTCTTTCTTTCTTTTCTCTCTCTCTCTCTCTCTCCCTCTCCCTCTCTGTCGTGACTCATCGTTCAGAAATACGTACCCCTCCCCGCCACCCGCCCGCACCTGTTCCTTGATAGTGTAGCCGCACTGCTCGGAGATGTCGATGAAGTAGAGCACGCAGCACTGAAGGTGAGCCAGGGCCGTCACGGCCTGCATCTCGATCGTGTTGCGCTCCTCCAAGGGGTGGTCGAGGATACCCGGGGTGTCCACCACCTTGGTCGTCGAAGGGAAGGGGAAGGAACGATTGGAATAATGTGTTGTTGTTGTCTTCACATCAAAAACCGTTCCGTTCTCTCTGTCCAGAACCTTCATCTGTCCATACTAGTCAAAAACTTATTAGGGATCGAGTCCCGTGGTCACAGGCAAACTTACCCAAAAAAAAGGTATACTACAATGAAATGGACCCGAAGGGTCCGCAAGCCAATAGAAGTCAACAACATATAGTCAGGAGAAAAAATATACCAGCACTCGCGTTCTTCGCGCTTGTGCGTGCGTGCGAACGGGGAGAGGTTTTCGTCATGGTAAGAAGGCGTCCGGTTTTCTCGTCTCCTTGGAAGGCGAGGCCAACGCCGGGAAACCGCCGTCTAGGCTGGCCGACTGGGTGGCGCTCGTGTCCAATTATTGACGGCGGCAGCGTCAAAGGAAACGCCTCTACCGGAAACACTCCGCCGTGAGTCAAGGAAGCACCGGGTACCCCCAAAGACGCTGGCTTCGCCTAGGCTTTTCTACCCCTACCCAACCCGCCGCGAGAGACTCTCCACAGCCATCCCTGGCCAAGTCGATGTCAATAGACATCCGACGTCACTCCTTGGCCCCCCCGTACCCCCTCTCCGATGTGTGCCACCCTCCCGCCACCCCCACTATTCAAGGGCGCACACCTGCCAGCGGAGGTAGCGGTAGTCCATGTGTCCCACGTAGAGGGACTTGGTGGTAAAGGCGTACGGCTGCACGTCTACCTCCGCCCGAGTGACCTGTGTGATTTCGCATCGGGAGGGGGGGGGGATCGATGTTCAGCATCTCTGTTTAGTCACAACGACACGAGGTTCTTGACGGACATCAGCATGGGAACAAGGCCGCCAGGAAAACGATAGGGGTTGGACGCGCTCCCCAGTGTGCGCAAAAACACATCGATACACATGCACAGCCAGTGGGATAATTCGCAAGAGAGGACGAAGGCAGTGTACCACTGCCCGAAAGAGCGCACGATGAATGGGCAACCCCAAACCTCCTTTGCCGACAAAAAAACGAAACGGTTCACATGACGTTCTTTCCACCTCCCGCTGAAAAAAAAAAACATGTCTACTACGTAATCACACCCCACCGCAACATACACACGCAAAACAAAAATCTACCTATATACATGTCCAGCCCCTTTCACCCCCCACCCAATCGCTGCTGCCGAGAACGGACCTTGTTCATGAAGCTGGACTTGCCCACGTTGGGGAAGCCGGTGAGCAGGAGGGTCCTCGTGTTGGGGTCGAGGGCGGGGAGGCGGGCGAGGTGTCGGCGCACCTCCTCCAGGTACGAGAGGGACGCCTTCTGCCTCTTGAGCAGCGTGCACATGCGTCCGAGCGCCGCCCGCTTGAGCTGCTTGCACCGGTAGAGCGAGTCGCCTGTGGGTCGTCAACGGCCAGGGGGGGGGGGGGGGGGGGGCACCC